AGCTGCAGCAGACTCAGAGCACACGTGGATGCCCAGGAGGAAATGGAGGCCCAGCGTTTGAGCAGCGCCTGGCCACGGAGTGCTGCGGCCCAAGAACAAAGCTGTTCTGCCTTTGCCCAGATGGCTTTCCAAGGTGGACTCGTCTGTCCTCATAAAAACCAGAGGGCTGACTCATCCGAATGCTGGCTGATTGCTTGGGAGCCCAAATCCTTCCAGCCTCCAGTCTGGGGGCAGCCTGGGGGCAACATCTCCTGGGTCTGATCGTGCGGTGCCTGAGCGAGAGGATGACCCAGGCTGGTTACACAAGACTCATCTTAATTTCTCTGTTCTGTTACTTCAGATAACGCCATCGGGCGGCCCTCATATTGTTTTCTTACAATTTGGTACCAGCCCTGGTGACCTTGGTCCAGAGCCCCAAAGGCTGCATCCAGCCCAGGGGCTCACAGCCACAGCCCCAGTTAGAACAGCACAGACTGCAGGGCCGAAAGCCTCAGCCGCAGGCAGAGAAGAGAGCTCCAGCCTTGGACCTAAAGCCACAGCTGGAGAAGGTGGAAAGGCCCTGGGGCCTAGAGCCACAGCCAGAGATGCCGGGTTTTGTTTTCTGCTGGTTCCTATGGGACTCCCTTGACCATCTGAGGCCATACTGGTTTTTACTGGGCTGCACTAGAGTCATCTTCTCTTCTCTGTTGCTTTCCTTCAGTTAACCCCGTTGGTGACCCTGGTGTTGGTTTCCAAAGGTTTGGATCTGGGAGGCGTCCATTTCCTTCGCTTATGATGCAAGCACAGCGGTGATGCAGGCACTCGCTGAGCTCACAATGGTTGCTGAGCTGGAAGCGTTTGTGCCAGCGCTGGAGAGCAGAGAGCTGTTGCTCTGGTGAGCGTGGTGCACACCGAGACTGAGCTCTGTGCTTTTCTTGAGGGATCATCCTTTGAGAGCCCACTGGGAGCAGCGCTGCGGCGTGTGCGTCAGCTGGGCACCGCTCCGGCTGAGCAGGCTGACCAGGTGAGCTGGGTTTGGTGCTGGCTGGGTGCCGGGAGAGATCAGCAGAAAAGCTGGGCTGGGGAGGAGCTCCCAGGTCCAACGGTGCCCTTCTGAATGGCTGTATCCAGGGAAAATGGGTTCTTGTTCAGATTGCAGCCCACGTTTCAGTGAGGATGACGAAAAGGCATTCCTCCCCTGGGAAATTGCTGCCGGGCCCCCACCTTCATGTCAGACCTTCAAAAGGAAGCAGAGCGCAGACTTCATAGGGTGCAACTTGTGCCTCCCTGCTCCGTGGGTTGCTTGGTGTGCCATGCCCAGCAGGTGCTTCAGCAAACCGCGCTGAAGTCACGGCAGAGAGCCAGGTGCTCAGCTGGGGACATGGGCGGTCAGCACACCTGTGGGGGAAAAGGGGACCTGGGGGCACTTGCTGACAGAAGCCATGGCAGTCAGACCCCAGCTGCAGCCAGTGATGGGCAGGCAGTTCTTGCAGCCAGCTGATTTCCAAACATTGCCTTCCTCAAGAGACAACATTGCATGGCAGAAGAAAGCTGGGAAAATGCTTCTTCCTCACGGTTTTTCCCTTGTTGATGCTTTCTGTAGGTTCCTCTCCAAAAGGAGAACTCAGGAATCCAGGCAGCTGAAGATCGCAGTGCTGCAGGCGATGTTAAGTAAGCATCCAAGTGGAGTGCAGGAAGGGGCAGTGAGAAGTGAACCATCAGTTGTGTTTGGGCTGTCAAAGCAGCATCTTTCTGTTTGCTGGGGGGACATGGGCTTACTGGACAATACTTGTGCTGCCTGCTGGTGTCTGTGAAATCAACACACGATCTGTTGTTGTAGGGACAAAACCTGTGCATCTGTGGAACGGTGCGGGGCAAGGGGGGAAACGGAAAGCCTCCGCAGGTAAGAAGCTCCTGTGAGCTGCGGTGTGGGCACTGCCTCTAAACAGGGCTGCATGAAGGGCTGCGTGTGATGGAGGGGAGAGGAAGGGACTGCAGTTCTGTGCTGACTGCAGAAGTGGCACAAGGCTGTAGCAGCAGAAAAGCAAATTGACAAAACTGCTGCTGAAGGCCAGAAGTTTGTGGTTGGCAGTGCTGAAATCTTCCTCCAAAGAGATGCTCTTCACGTCTTTCTTGTCTCCTTTCTGTCAGAAGCTGATGCCAGTGGCCTTCCCCTGAAGCGCAGCCATGTGGAAAGCCAGGAGTGTGGCACAGCACCCAAGAGAGGTACAGACACACAGCAGGCATCTGGGTTTGGTGCACTGTCTTTCTAGTTAGGCTTTCTGCCTGTTCTTTCCTGGGACTGTTCTCATTGCGTGTTGCTTGGGGTTTTAATCCCCGGGATTTACAGTTACCTCTCCTGTCCTGATTTACAATGGGAACCCAACGTTCACCCCAGATCCCTTGCTGTGAACGTGGTACAGGAGAGCTGGCATTGACTCTGGGATTTTTTCTTGCTGTTCCCAGCAGTGGCGAGCAGCTCGGATGTGCCGGAGGACATCACGGACATCCAGGGTTTGCTCTCTTGGATCAATGGTGAGTTTGGGGCTGCAGAGCTGCAGGTGTGTGTTTGCACAGAGGGGGTGTGAGAAGGCTCTCATCGCCATTTGGGGGATGTTTTTGCATTTTCAGACGTGGCAAGAGCTGCTGAGGTCCCCCACGAGAACCCCAGCAGCCCTGTCCCCGGATGTTTGATCGCTGAGCTCCCTGCCAACCCCAGGGACAGCAGAGAGCCCAGCACACAGGCTGCCACCGGGACGCCCAACGACCCCTTCTGGGGGCTTCCTCCATCCCCCGGGTTCCTGTCTGAGCTGCAGTGCGGGCTGTCGGCGCAGCGCCCCGTCGTGCCACCAGCGAGCGCCCGGCTCAGCCCACGGCCGACCACCCTGGCCGTCAGCGCACCTCCCTCAGCGCAAAGCGCACAGCCCACCGAGGAGGTGCAGCAAAGGCAGCCCCAGGAGGCTCAGGCTCACTCGCCCCCATCGCCAGGCTCTGTCCCCAGCCGGGTGGCAGACAAGAAGAACAGGGGCAGCACCAAGCGGGGGGCCAAGCGCCCTGCGCCTGCCGGCACCCTGCAGAAAGGGGAGAGATCCCAGCAGGAGCAGCCCACCAGCAGCGCTCCTGCCAAGAAAAGGAAGCTGCCACCCCGTGGGGAAAGAAGAGAAAGGAAAGGCCGCAAACAGCCGTGGCAAGCAAAGCTGCCTGGGGCCGGCGCAGGAGCCAGCGGCAGCCAAGCGGGCACTGCCAGCGAGCTGCGCAAACACCTGCAGGACTGCATCCAGGCCGTGCACCCGCTGGGGCAGAGGGTGACTGCGGTGGGCCCGGTGCGCCAGCCACCCTCTGTGCAGCCCCAACCCTCAGCCACCGCTGGCCCTGCTGCCCTCCAGCCCCAAGGCAGCCACGCGGTCAAGGCAGAACCGACAGCTCCAGGCAGCACGGTGCAGGAGGAGGGCGCTGCCAAGGAGGCGCCGCCGAGCTGCCCGCGCCCGTCCCCGCAGAGGAGCTCAGAGCTGCGGAGGGACCCACCGCCACCACCACCACCACCAGCGCTGCCCCAGCAGCAGCCTCGGCCGTGGCGCCCCGTGGACTCTGTGCCCTGCGTGGGGCCGCAGGCGGGTGGCGGTGTAATACCCTTAGTGATGGAGGAGTCGCTGCCCATCACAGCCGAGCAGCGGCCTGAGAGGGAGCGCATGAAGAAGCTGGCCCAGGAAGAGCGGCAGCGGGCGGCCCAGCAGATGAAGATCGGCCCCGTGCAGTTCCTGGTGCAGCGGGAGATAGACATGGCCATCGCCGACCAGTACGGCTACCCGTAACCCTGCGCTCCTCGCCGGCTCGCAGCACCAGGCAGCAGCGGCAGCGTTCCAGGGGCTCCGCCAGCGGCCCCATCTCTCCCCTGCACAACCGAGCCGTCCTCCAGAGTCAGCACAGCAGTGGGATGGGACGTTGTCTGGCTGCTCAGCTGTGGTGGGACTGGAATTTTAGGATTACTGTTGTTTGTTTCTCGTTGTACTCTAGGATAGGTTATTAAAAGCTTTGCATTCCATTTGCTACGTCCCTCTGCCTGCAGTCATTTGCGCTGTGTCACAGCCCCCCAGCTCCCCACGCCCGCCTCCAGGGCAGCATGGGGCACCACGGATGGCTCATGGCATTCCTCAGCTGCCACCAGCAGCCCCAGCCCTCCTCTCTCCCTGCAGCGCTTTGTGCAGCAGGATGCAGAGGGCGTTTCACGGAGCTCTGCTGCGCTGCACAGTGCCGTGAATTGCCGTGGGGATGGGCAGCAGGCAGGGCGGATGGAGGGGAATCGCCCTGGCTCACTACGGCCAGAAGAGACTCCAGCAGGGGCAGCTCCTGCGGAGGGGTGAAGCAGGGGCAGCAGGGCCTGCTGTGCAGATAGGCGTAAAGATCCCTCCCATGCCATGGCGCTTCTTGAGCAGGGCACTGAGGGCACCCTCGGCACGTTCACAGATGGCACCGAGTTCAGAGGGAGCGCTGATCTGCCAACCTGAGCAGTTCCGTGATTCTCTGGCTCTACGATGCCACATCCGTTCCAAGTCCATGCCGTACCAGAGCCCATCCCATATCGATCCCATTTCCCGATATCCCATCCCGCATCCATCCCATATCCATATCCCTGCACCCCACATCCCAGCCCCACATCCAACGCCCCAGCCCCACATCCAACGTCCCAGCCCCACATCCAAACCTCATTCCCAATCCCTCACCCCAAGCACATCTCACACCTGTCAATCCCAATCCCTCCTCCCCAATCCCGATCCCACATCCCATCCCCCTTAGCAATAGGGAACTCCGAGCCCCTTCCCAGCCACAGCTCAGCCCTGCCTCCGGACTCTCATCGCTCAGGGCCAGTTCTGGCCCGTTCGTGCCTTTCATTGGTCAGCGGCAGCTCCGTCCCGCCTCTGGACTCTCATTGGTCAGGGGCAGTTCCAGCCCATTCATTCCTCTGATTGGTCTGTAGCAGTGCCGCCGGCTCCGATTGGCTGACGCGTAGCGCGCGAAACGGCCGTTGGCAGCCGGCTCTCCCCTCAGACGGTGCCGGTCCCACAGCCGCTGCGCGCCGGAGCTCCGGGCAGCGCCGAGACGGAGCGGCGGCACGGCGGGAGCGGTGCGAGCACAGCGGTTCCGGAGCCGGGAGGGACGGACGGAGAGCGGCGCCGGGACAGGGATTAGCAGGTGAAAAAGCCGTAATTGAGGGGAAAAACCCCAGATTCAAGGGGAAAAACAGGGATTTGTAGCAGAAAAATCCATATTTAAGGGGAAAAACCCCATATTTAAAGTGAAAAACCCCATTTTTAAGAGGTAAAACCCCAGATTAAATGGCAAAACAAGGATTTCTGTGATAAAACACAAGATTCCAAGCGAAGAAACAGGGATTTCCAGGAGAAAAAGCCATATTTAATGGGAAAAACCCCGATTTAAGGGCTAAAGCAGGGATTTTTGGTAGAAAAGCCTGGATTTAAGGGATAAAACAGGAACATCTGGAAGAAAACCCCAGACTGAAGGGCAAAACCAGGGATTTCTGGCAGAAAATGCCATATTTAATGGGAAAAACCCCAAATGTAATGGGAAAAACAGGGATTTCTGAGAGAAAAAGGCGTATTTCAGAGGAAAAACCCAGATGTAAGGGACAAAACAGATTTCTGGGAGGAAAAGAAGTCTTTAATGGGAAATAGCCCAGATTTAATGGAAAAACAGGGATTGATGGTAGAAAACCCCAGATTGAAGGGGAAAAACAAGGATTTCTAGGAGAAAAAGCCATATTTAAGGTGAAAAACCCCAGATTTAAGGGGCAAAACAGGGATATCAGGGAGAAAACCCCAGATTGAGGGGCAGAACAGGGATTTCTAGGAGAAAAAGCCATAATTAATGGGAAAAGCAGACATTTCTAAGAGAAAGAGCCATATTTCAAAGGAAAAACCCCAGATTTAAGGGGAAAAACAGGCATCTCTAGGAGAAAACCCCAGATTGGAGGGGAAAAACAGGGATTTCTGGCAGAAAAATCCATATTTACTGGGAAAAACCCCAGATTTAAGGGGAAAAAGAGGGATTTCTAGCAGAAAAAGCCAGATTGAAGAGCAAAAATCCAGAATGTAGGAAACAACATGCGTTTGTAGCAGAAAAAGACATTTAAGGCTAATAACAGGGATTTCTGACAGAAAAAGCCATATTTCATGGAAAAAGCCCAGCTTTAAGGGGCAAAGAAAGGATTTCTTGCAGAAAAAGCCATATTTTAGGGGAAAAGCAGGGATTTCCAGCAGAAAAGGCCATATTTAAAAGGAAAAACCCCGGATTAAATGGAAAAACAGGTATTTTTAGGAGAAAACCCTTGATAAAAGGGGAAAAACAGGGATTGCTAGCAGAAAAAGCCATATTTCATGGAAACACCCCAGATTTAAGGGGAAAAGCAGGGATTTCTAGGAGAAAAAGCCATATCTAAGAGCAGAAATCCAGATTGTAGGGAAAAAACATGCATTTGTAGCAAAAAAAAGCCATATTTAACGGGAGAAACCCCAGATTTGAGGGTAAAACCAGGGATTTCTGGCAGAAAAAGCCATATTTAAGGGGAAAAATCCCTGATTTAATGGGAAAAGCAGGGTTTTATGGTAGAAATGCCCTGATTTAAGGGGAGAAGCAGGAATATCTGGGAGAAAACCCCAGATGTAAGTTGCAAAACAAGGCTTTCTTGCAGGAAAAGCCATCTTTAATGGGAAAACCCCCAGATTTAATGGTAAAACAGGGATTTCTAGTAGAAAAAGCCATATTTAAGGGGAAAAAGCTCCGATTTAAGGGGAGAAACAGGGATTTCCGGGAGAAAAAGACATCTTTAATGGGAAAAACCCCGATTTAAGGGCTAAAACAGGGATTGATGGTAGAAAAGCCTGGATTTAAGGGATAAAACAGGAATATCTGGAAGAAAACCCCAGGTTGAAGGGCAAAAACAGGGATTTCTAGCGGAAAATGCCACATTTAATGGGAAAAACCCCAAATGTAATGGGAAAAACAGGAATTTCTGAGAGAAAAAGGCATATTTCGGAGGAAAAACCCAGATGTAAGGGACAAAACAGAGATTTCTAGGAGGAAAAGAAGTATTTAATGGGAAATAGCCCAGATTTAATGGAAAACCAGGGATTGATGGTAGAAAACCCCAGATTGAAGGGGAGAAACAGGGATTTCTAGGAGAAAAAGCCATATTTAAGGGGAAAAACCCCAGATTTGAGTGGAAAAGCAGGGATTTCTGGCAGAAAAAGCCGTATTTAAGGGGTAAAACCCTACATTTATGGGACAAAACAGGTTTTTGTAGGAGAAAACCCCAGATTTAAGGGTGAAAACCCTACATTTAAGGAGAAAAACAGGGATTTCTAGGAGAAAAAGCCATATTTAAGGGGAAAAACCCGAGATTTAAGGGATAAACAGGGATTTCTGGCAGAGAAAGGCATATTTAAGGGGAACAACAGTGATTTCTAGCAGCAAAAGCCATATTTCAGAGGAAAAACCCCAGATTTTAGGGGCAAAACATGCATTTGTAGCAGAAAAAGCCATATTTAATGTGAAAAGCCCCAGATTTAAGGGGAAAAGCAAGGATTTCTTGCAGGAAAAGCCATATCTAAGGGGAAAAACCCCATATTTAAGGGACAAAGCAGGGATTTATTGCAGGAAAAGCCATATTTAAGGGGAAAAACCCCAGCGTTAATGGAAAAACAGGGATTTCTAGCAGGAAAAGCCATATTTGAGGGGAAAATCCCAGATTTAATGAAAAAACAGGGATTTCTGGCAGAAAAGGCCTTTTTTAAAGGGAAAAACCCCGGATTTAATGGGAAAAACAGGGATTTCTGGGAAAAAAAAACCCAGATCTAATTGAAAAACAGCAATTTCTTGCAGGAAAAGCCATATTTAAGGGGAAGAATATGAGATTTAAGGGGAAAAATAGAGATTTATGGTAGAAAACCCCAGATTTCAGGGGAAAAAACAGGGATTTCTAGCAGAAATATTTTGTTTGTTTATATGAAGCTTGATGTAGTGATGTAGAATAACGGGGGGAATGTCATGGTTTTGTGCTTTGGGTTATCAGCATTCCACACCATCTCATCATGTCATGCACTGGGGGTTTGGCTGCTGATGCTCAAGTTGCGGCTGCCTGTCTGGAGGAGAAGAAGAACCACGTTTCCCCAGGGCGCTTTGCGCTCAGCAAGGACACACAGCTCCTGGCCAAGTCCCCTGATGTTCTCGTCTTCGCCTGCGCTTCTCCGCCTGCTTTTCTTCCTGGGCTCAGCTGGACCGCAGTTCTCACCTCAGTGCTGTGCTGAGGCCTATCCACCTTTCAGACACACTCTCTCTCTCTCTCGCTCTCATTCTATTTTGCTGATACCATATTTAGGAAATGAGTTTGTTGCACCTCAGATCGTTGCCACTGTTTTTAATCATTTTGGGTTCCCATTTCCCTTTTCCGGACCCACGGATCCCTCCGCCCCGCTGGTCATGGAACCGGGCGGAAGCAGCCCATCAAGCGCTGACATTGAGGCATCTCCACTTCAGAGCTGGATAGAGAGCAGGGAGAGAAAGAAAAGGGAAGGGAGGGGAGAGGAGGAGAGGGGAACGGAGGGGAAGGAAGGAAGAAAGGGAAGGAAAAGGGCACTGTGAAGGGGAAGAGAAGGAAGAGAAAAGGAAAGGAAAAGCCAAGAGAAGAAAGGAAGAGAAAGGAAAAGGAAAGAGAAGAGAAAGAAGGGAAAGGAAAAGGGGGAGGAAGGAGAAGGAGAGAAGGAGAAGGAGAAAAGTCGCACGGCTCCGGCGCCATCCGAGAGGAATCCGGCCCCGCTCCACCCGCGGGCCCCGGCCGCCCGCAAGCCGCCCTTAGCAACGTGACGCCGCAGGCGGTTGCTAGGGCTCGGGCCGGAAGTGCTTCGTGCCGGCGGAGAGCACTTCCGGGGCAGCGGTGAGCCGGGCCGGGAGGAGCGGGCTCCGTGCCGGGAACCGGGTCGGGTCTCGGCGCGGGGGCATCGAGGGGCTGTCGGGGGAGGAGCTGGCGGCGCCGCCGGCAGCCAGAGGCGGGTCCCGGCTCGCGGCTTTGCGGGCCGCGCGGCCTCGCGAGGGCTGCGGGTGCCGGAGCGCAGCCCGGGGCGAGCGGGGCGGCTCCCGGGCGGCGGCAGCGCCGCGCTCCGTCGCGCGGTCGGAGCCGTCGCGCTGCGATGCGGTGCCGTCGCTCTTCGTTTGGACGTGGCGGGGAAGCCGGCGTCTCGCTCGCTCTTGCTGAGCGTCGTTTGCATGGCGGCGGTCCTTGGAGATGGCGGCGGGGAAGCGCGGGGCTCCGTCCGGATGGCGAGTTTGGCTTTTAGCCTCGCTCGGTGGAGTTTTGCTTTCGGCCCGGAGCGCGCCGGCAGGAGGCTGTGGATGGCGGGGCCTGATGGTGCGGCAAGGATGGCGACGGGCTCATGTGGCTGTGGCATCGGCCGGCCGGCCGGAAAAGCCTGGCTGGAGGCGGATTCCTTTTCTGATTGCCTTTTCTGATGCATTGTTGTGCGTTGGTGTTTCAGGTGTGTGAATGAGGGCTCCCCGCTGGAATTTGTGCCGAGCAAAGCTGGACGAGGAGTGGATCCACGCGCCTGGTGCCCTGTTTGAGTGCGGGAGGAGCGGGCACGGCTGAAGGTTTGTCCCTGGCTCTGGATGTCAGTGAGCGGGACGAGTGCGGGCTGAAGTTCTGTGTGATTGTGTTTGTTGGTTGGGAAGGGCTGCCCTGATCGATTGGTGGGAGGGAGGGCGGGCGAGGGAGATGTGAAAGCAGTCAGGAGCGCGTGGCGTCTCTGCCCGCTTTGGTGGCGCTGTTCTTAGTCTTTGGGCGCACAGTGAGGCTGTGTCCAGCGTCCCGGTTCAAAGGCAGGATTCGATCCAGTCGCGGCCCATCCGTCCCAGGCAAACGCTTCTCTCAGCTGGTCGGAAGGGGAAAAACAGGGATTTCTGGCAGAAAAAGCCGTATTTATGGGAAAAAAGCCAGATTTAAAGGGAAAAACAGGGATTTCTAGGAGAAAAAGCCGTATTTCATGGAGAAAAAAGACAGATTTAATGGAAAAACAGGGATTTCTGGGAGCAAACCCCAGATTTAAGGGGAAAAACAGGGATTTCTGGGAGAAAACCCCAGATTTAAGGGGAAAAAATAAGGATTTCTAGCAGAAAAAGCTATATTTAAGGGGAAAAACCCGAGATTTAATGGGATAAGCAGGGATTTCTAGCAGAAAAAGCCGTATTTAACGGTAAAAACCAGAGATTTAAGGGGAAAAAGAGGGAATACTGGCAGAAAAATCCATATTTAAGGTGAAAAGCCCCAGATTGAAGAAGAAATGGAAGCCAGGGCTTGTGTCTCCCCGCAGGCAGGTGCCGTCAGGTCCACTCTGGAGCGCGCTGTTGCTTGCGCTGAGCTCAGGAGATCCCTGATCGTGCCCTGAGTGTTGTGTGCTGCGTGCCCCAGCCCCAGAAGGGGATTCCCACGTGGCAGGAGGGAGAGGGCAGAGGAGGCTGCGGGCCCTTTCCTGGGCTTCGGCTCCTCTGTGGCCTCTTGCTTGCCAGGGAGAAGGGCTGCCCGCTGGGCACAGGGAGTGCCTTCTAGCTGCCGTCCCGTGCCCTGTCCTCCAGCCCCCTCCTCATGCTATGTGGAACGCCATTGCCAGCAGTGCGGCTGCCATTTTAGAACCTTCGCCGCATCACAGCCGTCACCTTGGTCACCGCTGTCCGGGCCAACGCACTCGCTCTGAGAGCTCTGGCAGCCATGCCAGCAGCGAAGAGAGCGAGGGGCACATTTTGCCCTCTTTTAAATGGGAAGAGGGAGCTTGGCTTCCCAGAAGCGAAGAGGAGGAGGGGGGCCGCCTTGAAGATCAAGCGGAGGAGGGGGCAGAGAGTGCGTTTCCATCGCGCCTGGACCAGCGCTGCGACCACCTCCGTGGAGCCCATGGAGGTGGATCCACCTCCGGATGAGCCCATGGAGGTGGATCCACCTGCGGCACAGCCGGCCTGGCACCACACCACCGTGCCAGGCCCCGCATCGGCGCCGTCACAGCTCCACCGCCGCTGGTCCAGGCGCTCGGCTCCCTACCCGCTGCGCGGCCCCCGCCCCCAGCATTAGCTGGGTGGCATTAGTTTCCATCAGCTCCTCCTCCGAGCCTCCTGTGGAGCCAAGTTCTCCTCTTCCCATTTAAATGCTGCAGGAGTTCTAGTTTAGTTGTTGTTTTTCTTGTTGATTTTAGTGTTAAGTTTAGTGTTAGTGTTAGGAGTAGGTTATTGTTCATGTTTTAGAGTTAGGCATAGGTTACTTGTAGTCTTTTAGTGTTAGGCATAGGTTCCTGTTCATACTTGACAGTTAGGGGTAGCTTGCTCCTGTCAAGTGGAAGTGAGCATCGCTCACTCGGTAAGCACACGCCTGATTGATCGTCCGAAGACATGAGTGCGAGTGCCGTGAGCACGGAGGCCCGATGGCATCTTGGATGGCTTGAATTTCCAGCTTGTGACTTTTGTGTTGCAGACCGTCGAGGAGCAGAGTGTGAGTGGCTGCGCCATTGCGTTGGGCCTCAGGAGAACAGTGTGTGACTGTGTGTCGAGCATCCTGCGTGGCCGTTGCCAGGTAGGCGTGCCTTCCTTTGCAGTAAGCAGTGCTTAGGCGTGAGCCCAGCTCATCCCCCTGTGCTCAGCAGATGGGCTTTCTGCGTGCTTTATTTCTGTGCTTGGTGCCGTCCGGCACAGCAGCAGCAAGGCCGTGAACACGTACGTACCCAGGTAGATGCAAATGTGCAACTGATGGGATTAATGCTATTGTTGTTAGTGTTCATGAGACAGTGGTCGTGCATGTGCGATCAACCTCAGGGAGAAGTTGATTGTTGCCTGTTCAGCTCTGGCTGAAATGCAAGTTTGGCGTCCCTCCTTGTGGTTGGGTCGGAAGACCAAGGCTATCTTGAGAGCACGTCTGTGAGTCAGGCTGGGAGTTTTTGCTAGCAGGAAGTCACAGCGTCGGAGCGCACGATAGGAATGATGGCTCTCGTTTCCCCCTTGTAGAAAGCAGCCTCCTGGAGAGCAGCAGAGCAGCAGGCTGTCTGCGCTATGGCCGCTGAAGTGCATTTCTCGGCCCCTGAGATCCCTGAGCCCACGCTGATGGAGAACGTGCTGCGCTGCGGCCTCTTCTTTGGAGCCGTTTTCCAGCTTCTGTGCGTGTGGGCCATAATGCTGCCAGTTCCCAAGTGCCCAGAGACAGTAAGTAGCGCTCTGCTTGATAGAGGTTGATAGAAATGCTGAGGAAATGGGCTGGGAGGGAAGCAGCTGGAGCTGTTGGCTACGGTAGCGCGCCGCGGCATTGCTGAGAATGTGGCAGTTTGTTGTGCCCTTCCTTGGCGTGCGTGCTGTTCCTGGTGGCACGCAAGGAGCCTGGAGGTGCAAGCTCACCTTCTCATCGTGCTGCTGGTGCTGCTGCTTCTGTGGGCTGTGAGTGGCAGGCAGGGCGTCCCCCTGTGCAGGGACTGCCTTGCAGGCAAGGCCTGTAGACTGTAGGTTACGTGGGTTTTTTGGGAACAAGAGAGAGGTGGAGTTTCTGTTGTGCCCTGATGTCAGGAAGGCAATTTGCAGCACTGGCACCCAAAGCTGCCCAGTCAGATGACTTGAGCTGCCAAAGCGAGCTGTCGGGCAATTGTCAGAAAGTTCCCTGACTGTTTGTGAATTGATTCCTGCAGGACTGGGACGGCTTGGAGTCTAAGACTTGGGAGACGGCGAAGAAACCAAAGGCAAGTGCTGCACAGCTAAGCAAGAAAGCCAAGAAGAAAAGCAAAAAGAAACGGTGAGGGCTTGAGCGATAAGCCTCAAAGGCCAAAGGAAGCAGCGGGAATGCTTGCTGAGAGGTGCTCCAAAGGCAGCGCACTGTACGTCTGGTTTTGTGGCGTGGCCGTGCTTTCCCTTGCGCGGACATTGGAGAGGAACTGAGGAAGCTGGAGGGGCTTCTGATGCGTGACAAACAAATGGGACTTTGCCTGTGCGGGATTTCATGTCTGGCAAGAGCTGGGGACGCTGCGTTCCTTCGGGGTCCTTCAGCTCGATAGCTGTTTCAGAATGTTGATGATGAGGTGAACATAGCGCATGTGGCTGGTCATGAGCGGTATCCAGGCTATTTGATTGTCTGTTGACATATCTACAAAAGGCAACCCAAATCCCTTAGTTTCAAATAAAAGGGAAACAAACCTTTGACACCTGGTGCTGCCTCTTTCAGTAGCTGGTCCAAACATGCCTGGCTTGGGCTGGCAGCGGCAGGGCGATGAAGCGGCCGGCTTCACGTCCCTCCCTGGAGATGGAGCTGCTTTTCCCGCGTTTCCATGTTGGTGTTGCCAAGCGGTGGCCTTTCAGCCAAAGCGTAACTGCTAGCGAAGCCTGTGAGCAT